GACAAAAGGAGCAGTGGCGGTTCTGTCCGGCTAGAGGGGATGGCATCCGAACTGGCAGGAGCTCAGAGATAATCATGCCCGATCTGACAGAAGCCTGGAAGTGAGTGCGCGAGGTGGTTATAAAAGACTCCCTACCCCCTAAGAACAAGGTATGCTAACTTTTGCGCTATCTGGCTTATCTTGCTTTTGAAAGATTCTAACTTGAGCTTCGAAGCCCTTACGCCGGATTCTCCCCAGAGCTTCTTCACCCCCTCCGTTTCAGGTCCCCTACCACTCAGTTCAAAGGCAAGATCGTTGACAGCTAAGGCCGGCCGGATTATGCATCATCACCAGGGTTGCATGAGAATCCATTGGTCATTAAGAGTCCAAGGACCATTTGTTCTAACTGTATCGAAATCCTTAGCATATCTGAAGTTCAAGCGGAAGTGACCTCTATTAAACGGTGCTAAGAGTAGGCTGCTGGAATCCAGAGCTCATATAGACCTTGGTCAGTTAACCGGGGAAAAAGTCGACAAATGAGAGAAAGCTGCTAGTTTTCTCCGATGCGCCTGAAGAGATGAGATGTTGGATGTTCACCACGTCTACTCCAGCGTTTTCATTGCCTTGAAACATTTGTTGGAATGCCTTATTAAGCGCTTCCAAATTGTCATTGGGGAAGGAGGTAGTGTAGGAAAGGGAGGAAGGATTAAAGAGAAAGGGAGAAGGGAGAAAGGCTGAAGTTCAGAAAAGGAAGAAGAAGAAAGCAACAAAAGAGAAGGGATGGAAAAACTAAAAGGGATATAAATCCCAAGTCTATTTCAGATGTTTATTAATTATGCTGGAGCAAGAGACTAGAAAAACAAACTACAAAGCCGATAGTGGTTGAGATGCCAAATAGTAAACAACTATTAGAACAAGTAACGGAGTCGTAATTAGATTAAAATGCGGGCAGCGAGAAATCACGCTGATTTGCGAAGAGGCGGTTATGTGTAATTATGAACTTGGGTTTTCGAAACCCGTCGTTGAGCAGTTACCGAGTTGCAGTTGAATGGAAAAGAGGCCAACCATTGGCACTCGTCGTTACAGTTTCCTTGTAGTTGAGGAGGCATCAGGACAATAGAAATCCCCCTCAACGTAAACCTTCCAAATGGATCGTTTTAAATTTACGATAATGCCAGTGGGGACGGAGGAGGGTAATTTGGTAATTTGATGCCAACGAACTTGGAGGGGATTTCGTAGCAACTAGCAACCTCAAACCAACGCTCAAGGGTTCGTATCGCTGTTCTGCGTCTCGTGGAGGGAGAGAGAGATAGAGAGAGAGGATGACGACGGCAACATCGAGCATCGTGTCACAGCCGACGCCATGGCTGACCACTTCACTCATTTCTCCCTATAAAACCCAGTCTTGTTCGCAAAGCTTCACCGTCGTCTCCTCTTCTCTCTTTACGACATCGCCAACCGCAGCTAACCTCTCTAGTAAGTTCTGTTCTTCTTTTCTTTTCAATAGTTCCCTCTCATTCCGTAAGCTCTCTGTAATGCCGACCGAAGCTGCAAAATCAGGTACGACGCTTTCAAATTTGTTGAAGGGGAGTCAGCTTTAATCTCTCGTTTGATTTAAGTCCTTGGAGTTTTAAATCTTTTATTTCTTTGGTATGCTTAAGCTGTTCAGCTTTGCTCATTCATCATCAACTCCTTTTAGAATCATCTAATATTTTCGTATTTTCTTGAATCTGCTGTAAGCCTGGTAACTTCAATAAATTCGTTTTAGTTCATCATCATCCAAGCCTTTTTCCCAACTATATGGGGTCGGCTACGTCAATCCCGTTTCACCAGTCCGTTCTATTTGATGCCATTAACATAAATGTTTAAGTTTGAACCACTGCAAGCTTAATCTGTGTGCTTATGTCTATCAGTGTGTAGAATTTATTATTTATTCCCACTTGAGGATTCATTATGTAGCGTCTGAAGGATCTTATTTTGCTCAAAATCTTGGAACTTTTGGTTGAGGTTTGCTAGGCTTTCGTTCTTCTTCTTCTTCTTTTTTTTTGATTTAGTAATGCTCACCAATAAAGTAGTGGAAACTAGAAACTGTCCGAGTCCTAAACAGTTTCCCTTGTGCTGCTTTAGATTTGTTATATTATTTTATTTCATATTAGGAAACTTGATTACAATTGTAAATTCTAATGTATTTTTGCTTGGGGTTTGAGGAAGAAGCTCTGGTGCTTATATTTGGTAATTTTGGTTGAGGCCAGAGCGTTCAGTTTCTAGGTGCCGGAGAGACTTCTAATTCCACTTCAGATTCTGTTGTTCTCTCCCATCATCTCCTTTCTGTCAAAAAATATTTCTTTAATTATTGTATTGTAGAGAAGAGGGTTGGATTGAACTTTGCCTTACTCTTCCGGTGCATTAACACATTAATAATACAAACACTGAGTATTTATTTAGTTTCTGTTCCATAGATACCCCACGAAGAGGGGGGGACAGGACACAGAAGTGCTTGTTGGAGATGAGATTGAATATGATTTTAAACGGTCAAATTTAAAGTTGTGTTTTTCATTTTCCAACTGAAAAATGGGTTTCTTAGACAGTACTAATACTGTATAACATAGAACAGTAGAACTATTGTTAAAAGTTCAAAGCAGTCTGATCGTTATTTCTGTTACACATTCTGATTTTATATTGTGGTGTTAATGCTGTTTTTGCATTTTTCCTGTCATAATGCTGGTGGAGTTTTTAGAGCTGAAGATTATCTTTCTTATCTTGTTTCCCAATTTTCAGGGTCTCTTACTCTAGCTCGGGGATGCTCATGGATGCAGGACAATTCCATGGGCTATGACACCACCAGCAACAGAAAATTGAGACAGGGCCCTTTACATTCGGTGTTTTCCACTACACCTGCAGTGGTTTCCTCGGTGCAAGACCTTTACGAATTTATATGCTCAGGTCCTCTCATAGAAAAAACGGGTTTGACACCAGAAATGGTTGCAGAGAGTATTGACAGGTGGTTAGAATGTGGGCTTTACCTGTGTAGATTATTCCAACTCAATGAGCTTAACTTAACAGTCCCTCAGAAAGCTAGGATCTATCACTACTATATACCTGTATTTTTCTGGTGTGAAGATCAGATTTCACATCACAGGTCGATGTTCAAAGATGGAGAAGACATCCCTCCTTTAGTGGTATATATACCTTGTCAGAGCCTATCCTTAATGATTTTAGTAGCTTTTTTCCTGTTACTTTCCATTGATTTCAGGCTGTGTTACAACCAGAGTTCTAAATTTACTATTTTCTATGCATTAGAATTTGTTCAATCTGATAAACTCCATGAGCAGCTTACATGGATAAGATCTTTTTGTGGTGCAGATTGGTTTTAGTGCTCCACAGGGATGCGGAAAGACTACACTTGTTTTTGCCTTAGATTATCTTTTTAGATGCACTGGAAGGTTGGTTGATGAATTGTTAAACTTGTTAAATACTAAATTGTTAGTCTTGTTATTTGTTATGAACTCTAAGCGAACAGTATGGTTGTGCTGACACTTATATTGAAATCTTAGGAAGTCTGCATCTGCAACAATTTCTATAGATGATTTTTATTTGACAGCTGAGGATCAGGTAATATACTGAGGGTCAGATTTAACCATTTGTCCTCTTCTGTTGTTTATTCAAAATTTTCATTTCTGATTCACTTTACATATGCTGAAGGCTAAATTGAGAGAAGCAAATCCCAGCAATGCGCTTTTAGAGGTAGCTATTGGAATGTCCTTGACCCAATCTTGAGAATAGATACAAATGGTGTGTTTTTTAAATGTTTATCAATGCCTGATTTCAGTTTCGGGGGAATGCTGGAAGCCATGATCTTCAATTTTCCATTGAAACATTGACAGATCTAATGAAATTGACAAAAGAAGGTAACACTCTATTGTATTGACTTACATCTTCCCATTTTTTACTCAGTTCTCTACTTCTTTTGATTAGGAAGACTAATTCAACTATGCTGCCTTTATGAATATTTGTTGCACGTTAAATCAAGATTTCAACTGATCATGTTAAAGACATCACTTGGTCTATTTGCTTTTCATTGGTTCACATTTCACAGGATGTACCTACCATCAAGACTTTAACAATGCCAAAGATGTCAGCTGTCATGTGTTGTTTTGTCATTGGTTCACATTTTTTGCTTCACAGTGCAGTACATGCACCATAGATTTTGCCTAGAGAGATTGGGGTTAATTATTTTTTTACCAGTAATCATGTTAAAGATGTCACATGGTCTATTTACTTTTCATCGGTTCACATTTCACAAGATTTACTTGCCATCAAGATTTTAAGAACGTCAAAGATGCCAGCTGTGATGTGTCATTTTGTCACTGGTTCACATTTTTTGCTTCATGGTGCAGTTTTGCACCAAGATTTTGCCTAGGGAGATTGAGGCTCCGTTTTTTTTACGTGTAATCTAGACTTCACTGAATACACAGAAGGGGAGTTGGTGACCAATAAACTTGTATATACATGCTTCATCTTTCTGTTTATATTCTTTGTAAACATGGTTTCTCTTCAAGTATTAATGGAGTTATTCTTTACACTACTTAGGCTTGAAGATGAAGCTGCCACGATATGACAAAGTAAGCAAAAGTCACCATCAACTCTGTTTACTTTATGAATTTATAAGACATAGTGATGGAAAATTCTCTTATGCAGTCTGCATATGGTGGGAGAGGTGACAGAGCTGACCCTTCAACATGGCCAGAGGTTGAAGGGCCATTGACGGTAAAACAGTGATATTTTTCCTTTCTTTAATATGTACTAAACCAATATTTTTCTTCATCTCTCATTATTCTTCTGTTCTCGGATGGCCAATTAGGTCGTACTGTTTGAGGGTTGGATGCTTGGTTTCAAACCCCTTCCGGTGGAAGTTGTTAAAGCTGCTGACCCACAGGTTTGTAGTAACGATTTGATGCTTTTTCCACACTTGGGTTTACAAGGTCTTGCTGTTATGGCTGTTTCATTTTATTATGTTAATGAGATCCTTATGATCTAAAATAATGCCTGCTTTCCTAGCTGGTGGCTGTGAACAAAAACCTTCAAGCTTATTATGATGCATGGGACAAGTTCATAAAGGCATGGGTTGTAATCAAAATTAAGGACCCAAGTTGTGTCTATGAGTGGCGATTGCAGGTTTGACACCACGAAACTTCCACATGTTCCATTTGTGCTTGAATAAACTCATCCTTGTTAACTGACTAACCCAATCCTTCTTGCATTTTTTTTCAGGCAGAGGTTGCCATGAGAGAGGAAGGCAAACCTGGGATGTCTGATGAAGAGGTGCTTCTCTATATGCATTAAGGATCATTTCATCCATTTAACTGTTTGCATTTACCTAGCAGATAAATTCAGCAATACTTGCAGTTACAGTAATGTTTTTAATTGTTGGAGTGAGATTGTTTTGTTGATTTATGAAACTGAAATTTCTTCAAACTCTGCAGGTTATGGATTTTGTTTCACGTTACCTACCAGCATACCATGCTTATCTTCCAACACTATATTCAGAAGGACCAAATGGATCTGATCCCGAACATCTCCTTGTTGTTGAAATTGATGAAAAGAGGAATCCCATCTTGGGTAACTAGTTGGCAGCATTTAGGCTACAATATTAGAGGCCATTTTTTGATTGTCTTGGACAAGGTGTAACGGTTTCAGCCAATGACTGACAATAGACACCCACTGGTGAAGCCATCCCTGAATTCAATGTATAAATGCATTAATGTGAATAAGAAATGGTTGTATGAAAGGGTTTTTTCTTCAATTCCTTCTTTCTCAAGACATCCAAAGTTGAGATCAATCCCTCCCCCCCCTCTCTCTCTCTCTCAATCTATACACGTTCTGCATTGAATTGCTCTTGCCATGTTCCTGACACGAGAAACATGGGAGACCAAAACAGTCTAGGATGTTTTGGATCAAACATCTGAGCTCTCATTCAAGCATTTAATAATGGTTAACGCATCAAATATCTACCATTCTTAGAAGTTAATTCCCTATAACTAAGCATAAACAGAACAGGTATTAAAAGCAAGAGCTGAAAATGCCTAAAGAAAATGTGAATTATATAATTTGTTGGTAGACAAATTGGAAGAAAATAAAAATGGAAAAGTTGTTAATGCAGCACGAGCACGGTCCACGGAATTGTGTGAGAGAGAAAGAGAGAGCTCATTGGTAACTCATGTAGTGACTCGACTCGCTTGTCACATGGGAGAGTTCTCATCTGAGCAGCTCTAAGGACATGTATCAGCGGATTAAAGTGAATAATCTACTGAAGACATCGACCAGCGGAGTAAAAGCTAGAATGGGTTTCCGCCTCCGGAGGGGGGAAAAACAATGGAGACATCTGTCATTCAACCATTGATTACTCCGTTGGTCTCATTTGTAGTCGCCGGGAGAGCTTTACAACAATGTAGTAAACTTTGTACCAGTGTTGCTAAACACGCTATTAACATCCATTGCCTGCTTGTACATTTTCTGATAAAACAATTTGCTTATCCTACGATCATATCAAATAAAAGCTCCAAAAAGTGTTGATGCTACAATTGATAAGGTATGTATTTCCACCAGAATCTTGATCATCATCATCTAAGCCTTGTGCTACATGAATTCTGTTTCGCCATATCCATTCATTAAATAATTTCCACCCAAGTTCTTTTCGGCCTGCCTTAGTTATTGTAGCCCTTACAACTTGTAACTGGCCATTTCTTCTAACAAGCCCAGTGGATGGTCTTTTTATGCATCTGATCAAACCATCTCAGTCTACTTTCATTTTATCGATCTATTCTAACTACTCCTAAGTCTCAATCTACTTTCATCTTGTCAATCTATTGGAACTATTCCTAAGTTCCTTCCATCCAGATTAGTCCAGAATCTAGACAAGCCAATCAGTTGCGGGGTGGTCATTATATATATATATGAGAGAGAGAGAGGCATCCATCGGTAATTGGCAAATTTATAGTTCGGATGTTGATGATAAGGAATCCGCAATTTTATTTGTGAGATAGGTTTTTTAGGTGGATCAGTACACAAAAGGGTTCCTGCAACACGACTCACACCATATCTCAAATTTCTTTTCCTCTTCTGATTAATTTTTACAGTCTTAATACCCCTAAAGAATAAAACACGAAAAGAATAAAAAAAGAGGTGTAAAAAAGGAAAATGTTAGGATGCTGCAGGGATGAGGATGGAGGTATGAACCCCCATTTCAAACTAATGTTCCAGGAGGTTGGAAGGGGCTTAAGCCCTAAGGACAGCAGCAACAGAGAATGTCCAAGCAGCACTCGCAAGTCTCAAAGCAGCAGAAGCAGCAACACAGTGCGAACAAACTGCAACAAAAAACACCAAAATTCATCACAAGAAAGCCATTTTTATTTCTTTCATTCTTGTTAGCGGGGGATCTGATCTCCCATCCCAATTACGGGGTGGTGGCTTGATCTCCAGGCATTCCATTAGAAGAGCAGAACATGTTTCAGATTTTTGGTTTGACTTGAGCATGGCGATGCATCTATATGACATGGTTATCATTATCATACCATATTCATATATAATTTCTCAATGTTGTAATAGAACAAATTAGAAGGAATCGAGATAACATGAAAAACAAAGACGAAAAGTCAATTCATGAAGGAAACAAGAACATAAAACTACAATCAGATATCTATATATCTATATATCTATATATATATATATAGAGAGAGAGAGAGAGATGGCGAAGAACATAAGAAACCTAGCGTAGAGACAGCCCTTCTCCTCATGGCGTCTTTGGACGTGGTCGAAATATGACATCTCTTGATACCCAATTGGTGCATACATTCTGCCTCTCTCTTTCTCTCCTCTCTCTCGTTGCAGTCTTGCAGAGCGGATGGATAAGCGTCACAGATCGATCGAGTAAGCCGAAGTAGGGACCTGAGTGGTGATTTTATAGCTGAGATGAATGGGGATTGCTAGAGTTCAGAATACTGCATTTTTTCTTGGACACTTGTCGGTTACTCTGACTAATATATTCCTTTTTATTCTCATTTATTTGCAATTTATTAAATTTTTTAAGATTAAAAATTTATTAAAAATAAATAAATAAATAAAGATGAGAAGGAAAACCGGAAACAGCTACTGCCTACCGGGGGTTGAAGATGTTGAAGGCTTAGTTGGGGGTTAGTGAGGAAGTGATGCACGCAAGGGCAAGGCGCCAGGGCCCACTCCATTGGATTTGGAGTGGTTTCCCTTCTTTCTATTGTATTGACTTCGTCGGATTCTCTTGCGCATGGAATGCGCCACGAAATTTACCCCGATCAAGGAAACAAGCGTGGAGTTAGCAATCCCGTTGCGAGGTAGGTCTTAGCCTCGTAGGTCCCATGGTACAGCTAGACCGGATCTGCTGTGCATAACGGACCGGATTGGCCGGAGACTAGTATGGGTCGGGTAGTCTAACGGGCCAAGCTGATTAGATTTATTCATAGGCCGGGTATTTCAACAGGCTGGTTCAGCCATTATTTTTTGGGCTTGGACAAAATTTCAGGCCTATGGGTTAAGCTGACTTTAAATACCAGGCCCAATCATTTTTTGGGCCGAGTCAAGCTTTTTTAAATAAGCCTGACCCGATACTATTATATATAATAAAAAAAATATTTATGTTATATATAATATATTAAATTATTATTAAAGTTCGACCCAAACCTGGCCCAGCCCATGAATTGATTTACTGGAGACAAAATTATACACATCGGGTTGGGTAATTATCATGAAGTGAACATGTTGGTATTCTGTATGCTCATAGTGTAGGTCTCATGTGTACGAAACATTGATGTATTCACTCTTGTTTAGCTTGCCCAGCCTGCCATACATGATTTTGTCACCAGCCATCCTTAGTTACCATAACCAATTATGAGTGAACACTCCACTGTTCCGTATACATCGGTTCCGGGAGATGTTGAGTACCTAAAGTCTGGATCTGCTGTTTGCCAATAGGAATGCCACTTTGGACTGGATTTGGTTCAATCTGATCTGGTCCAATATGAGTCCATTATACTACAGATCATTTTGGATCTGTCCAATTTAATGTATGGACCGCTCAGTCTGTTCAAATTGGTTTTAATTTAGATTTGTTCCAATCCAAACTTGATCCATTAAAACTTGTAATCTTATCTTCTAACCCAATCTAATATAAATCCATTACAGATGGACCAGGTCCAATCCAATCTAATAAAATACTTTGGACCAATAAGTATGGACTGGTCCAATTCTCTGTGTCTTATTGACACTCCTGATATATAACCAATTACTAGAGCTGTACATGTTCATTCGTGTTTGATTATACATATTATATATTCATTTGTTAATGACTATATTGTATAAATTTAGATTTCATACTCACGGAACCATCTCACAGTCCCTTGCAGTCATGCACTGAAAATATCTTAACATTTATATATTTTATTCATGAAGAGATGTATCTGAATTCATATTATATACCTTAGGAGTGGAGTCCTTTAAAACATCTTCATATTTATATGTTTTTATTCATGGAGAGATGTATCCGAATTCATATTATTTACTTTAAGTTTAATTTGAAAAGAGTATAAATACAAATATGTACAGTATAAATACATATAAAATAATACAAAATATAAGGTTTTACACTCTATTTACATTTGTACTCCTTCCAAACTCAGCCTTCGGAATGGAATCCTTTCATCTTTTGTTTTTTTTTTCTCTCTTTTTATTTCAGAGTTAGAGACTTCTCAAATGGGCCCAGCGAAACAACCCATAGTTGTCTTGAAACAGCTTGATCATGTTCATGGCGTTCACAAGCTATTGCTACTTGCCAACTGAATACGCGTCTGCTCCATCTACAACGCAAATTCCATTTTCTATCGTGCAAAGCAATATCGGTTGATTGGATATCTACAATGGTTTCGTTTCGTACCTATCATTCCCTTTCATTATCGATCTATTAAAAGAGGTAACCAATCACTGAATTCAGATTACCTGTCAATAAAAACACGTTCCAACATAAATCTCACTATAAAATTGGGACCATCATAAAAGTTGGATCCATCATATATGAGATGTATAATGTCTGATGATGTTAGTTGGGTGTTATAACATGTTTTGTTGATAGGTGATAGGACTCCCAATCACGTGGTATCTGATAAAATTTACGGGACGTTTTGATTTAGGGTTTTTAGCCATTAAGGGCAACTTTTTGCTTTTAATATAAAAAAAAAATATATTTTATATAATAACCAAAATAAGGTATCTTTTTCTAAAAAATATCAAGTAAAGGCATTTGTCTTCGTCCTCTGTATTTGGCCGGCGTATGCCCTCCGGTTAAGCCCAATCATTCGTCTTCCTCCTCTGTATTTGGCCGGCGAATGCCCTCCGGTTAAGCCCAATATTGCATTATTTTTGAGAAGTGAGCAAGTGAATTTTGTTCATATGGATTTGAGGTCGAAGAAGTGGAGCTGGTCGAGGTGAGCAAGTGAATCCTGACGTCAGTGCAACGGACGCCAAGCCATGAGGCAGAGCAGGCGTCACTAGAGGTTGCTGTGAGCGTCAGTTTAGGAGCAGAACTCTCAGGTAAATTGATGCACCATCTCTCTTCGCTCAGGTCTCCAAAAGGTAGATGTCGCACCGAAGCTTTGCGACAAGTTCACTGGAATCAATCCCCTACATCCTCGAAAGCTCCGCCTCGTGGTCGAGCTGTACATGAAGCTACGGATTAAGTCCTGGCTGTCACGGCCAAAGGGCGAACTCGATGGAGCAGGGCTGATGAATCAATTTTTTCGTGAAGTATCAATTTTTTGTGCTAAGTACCTCGTCATTTGGTTTGCTTTCAAGTGGCCGATGACTCAGAGGCTGAAGTTAACTTCTACTGGATGAGGACCTGGATGTCGAACTGATCAGGCCGAGCTGGGGGCAGATTAGGTGCCGACCTAACTGGGTTGAGTTGGGCAGGTTAGGTGCCGAACTGATTGGGCCGAGCTAGGCAGGTTAGGTGACGAGTTGACTGGGTCGAGCTAGGCAGGTTAGGTGACGAGCTGACCAGAGGGCCGAGCTGCCTAGTGGTGAGCTGGATTGATTGTTGAGCTTCGTAGTTCTTTAGAGACCTGCAAGGAATCAATGTCAGAGGACCCGGGGTGGCTAACCCGGCAAGGTCGCTTCGATGCTTAAGTCAGTACTCTCATAGTAGAGTGCGAGCTAAAAATCACAAAGTATGAGAGCTAGAATATGCTTACTTGCCCCCCTGCGTCATTGGGGTTGGTGCCTTTATATAGAACTTGTTTGATGTGGGCCTCACGTACCGCCTCCGAGATTTACTAGAGTTCGTGCCTAACTGGTCCGAGATCCTCGGAGGTAACCGCCATGCACGTTGACCATCCTCTAGAATGTTCGGTACGTGGGCCAATTTCCAAGGATCGTGAGAGTGTTGAGATATGCATGCCGAATTTGTTGGCAAGCAGCCTCGCAGGTCGCCAGGTCGCCAGGTCGGACACCATCATCTTGGCCGAGGCAAGTTGTTGCCTAAGTGGTTCCGGGTGTCACCTAGTTGTTCCGAGGTGCCATGTGTCACAATATCATTGGAAGGCCAAATCCACCCTCATCATTTGCCCCCCACTCCCGAGATGAAAGTAACTTGGCGAAAGGAGTAGATTGCTCCTTTTGGCCTGAAATGACTAATTCGATGAGCTCGTAAGCATTGATTCAATTCCTTAGGCTCTGGGAGCGACTCATAGTCCACTCTCCTTACCCTTGATTTTGCCCATGTCGAAGAGGTGACTGGGTCTTATGTGGTGCCGAAGTCTTTGCCAGTTCGGCACTTTAGCCCTTTGGCTCTAGGAGCGACTCGTAGTCCACTCTCCTTGATCTTTGATTTTGTCCATGCCGAAGAGGTGACTGGGTCTTATGTGGTGCCGATGTCTTTTATCAGCTCAACACCTTAGAGCTACGGCTGCGCTGCATCAGCCTCGTTAGTGACGTCGGTTACCCACTCCTACACGAGGCTACTAGGAGCTCGACATACGGGGGCAGCACTACTAACTTTAGTCAGCCTGCACGGGAGTCTTGGAAGGCTCGACCGACAGGGGCGTCCATGCAGTTTGTTGTCCGCCTACTCCCGCGGAAGCTACGAAGAGCTCATCTTTGTAGAGGGTACCTCACGAAGAGAACTGATGAGGCTTTACCCGAGTTGAAATAAAGTTGGTAGAGCTGCTTAGTCTATTGGCCATCAACTTCCTACATAGTCTTTGAGTTCATAAAAAATGGAAACTAGAAGGTGAGAACTTAGCTTTCTGGAAGAAGAGGACTTAGCCTTTCGGAGGATGAGAACTTAGCTTTTTGTAGCGTTTCCCATAGACGACACTAATTGATGGATCATTTTTTGGTGAAGCATCAATTTTTTGTGCTAAGTACCTCATCATTTGGTCTGCTTCCAAGTGGTCGATGACTCAGAGGCCGAAGTTAACTTCTGCTGGATGAGGACCTGGATGCCGAGCTGACCAAGCCGAGCTGGGGGCAGATTAGGTGCCTAGCTAACTGGGCCGAGCTGGGCAGGTTAGGTGCCGAACTGATTGGGCCTAGCTAGGCAGGTTAGGTGACGAGCTGACTGGGCCGAGCAGGCAGGTTAGGTGTTGAGCTGACCAGAGGGCCGAGCTGCTTGGTGGCGAGTTGGATTGATTGTTGAGCTTCGTAGTTCTTTAGAGACCTGCAAAGAATCAATGTTAGAGGACCCGGGGTGGCTAACCTGGTGAGGTCGCTCCGATGCTTAAGTCAGTACTCTCATAGTAGACTGCAAGCTAAAAATCACAAAGTATGAGAGCTAGAATATGCTTACTTGCCCCCTTGCGTCATTAGGGTTGGTGCCTTTATATAGGCCTTGTTTGATGTGGGCCTCACGTACCGCCTTCGAGATT